CCAGGAGCAGCCCAGAGTATTTGGTAATCGAAATTTTAAGGATAATTGTCTTTAACCAAGGACATACGAAAAACGTGGTTGTAAGTTGGCGGCTCGTTTGACTCCGGAAACTCAGTCAAAAGTTACAGAGTAATTTGATAAGACAGCAAGAGTTATGTGTATAGGTCTCACCAGATGACCTGATGCACTGATGCGTGTGTAAAGATTTCTCATTTGAATAGAAATAGCCTCGCACTAAAGGTGAATTATAACGACCTGGGAGATCGGGCCGTATTTCAATTACCAAAAGATTTACCACGGAATTTAGGGAAATATGATTCCGTGACCACGCGTTTCGTTGTTATTAAGAATCGTTATTTGGATGCAACAGTAGTGGTCCTTAGTAGCTCACTTTGAAGGTTCCCTCCATTTAGCCCACAACATCCTATACCTGCTACTAACATCAGGGTGAGTAGTTCAATAAGGGTGATGTTGGAGGCGTCAAACGAACAAATCGCATTGCTCAGTTAGCGCATTTGTTCCCCATTTCAGCCGTGGTACTCAGGTTCTTCCAGCGTACGCTGGTGGAGCAGTGGCGAGGGCTATGCACCGCTAGTAAGACAAATCTGCGTCCTTACTATCGTGCTTCGATGGGACGATTTAGGACCAGAACAACTGCTCTAGGGCTGGCGGTCTTTTTAATTGCTGCGATGTGAATGATGTGGTTACGAAATCCACCGGCTTTTTAGCAGCCACTACAATTATTTGGTGTCAAACGTAATGAACAGATATTGACCATGGGCGGATTAATGGATAATCGGTTTTGAAACTCGAAGAAGGGTGAGATTAAGCAAGTGACATCAGATCCTTTCATCTGGGTTGGACATTGACTAAATGAACAGTGGACACAAAAACAAACGGCCACCTGAAGTGTGAGAACTGATTTTCACGCTGGAAGTTGAACAGTTAGTATACTTTTGTACGCAGTGCTGTAGCTAGATGGTGGGATATTGAAATCATGTTCCAGAAACTCTGGAAGGCCTGTGACCTCTGTCTTGTTGAATTTCATAATGAAGTGGAGTATTCGGCTAACGTAGGCTAATAAAATGGTATTACCAGCACCGATGAGTCTGGCTGACAATGAGTTTTGACTTCGCTAATTCTGGAACGCTAATGCAAGACCACACAGTGGTACTGAATCGGTTCAATTACTTGCGGAACAATTGCTTTGAGTATCCGCACTCCAGACATCAACTTCAGCAATCCTGACTCGCGTATGGCGACTGTAGGTAGTATCCAGACTAAGTTACTGCGTTCTGTCCCTGCGCATGATTCATCCAGTCTACCTGTAATCCAGGAAGTTCTAGTCACACTACTGCCACACTGTCTCGATCTTGTCTCTTAGTTTCCTTCCGTCAAAAGTCTCACAAACAGGACAGTGTCAGAACGGATGAGTTCACACTATAAACTGTTCTATTTACACTGGAAGCTACTTTGTGTGCACGATGAAGTATTATGAACCATGCTTTTTCATGGATTGATAGTATGTTCTCAATGATCACAATCTATATGAAAAGTTCCGCTGCGCTTTTGAAACATTGTACGGATAAATAACAACGTGTGAATGATACCAAGGTATAACAGTTGTTTTTGGTACGAGGAATCGAATATCAACGAAAAGCGACTAAAAAGCTTGGAAGGGAAATGTCATCTTATGATTGTACAGGAAGCTAACAGTGACGTAAGCAACAGCACACAGGGCTGACAAAAGATTCACTGTCTCACACATCGCTGATGTGAATTCGAAGCTTTTAGAACAGCATGCGACGGTAACCTACGAACACCTTGCTGAGTATAACGCCGAAAAGCGAAGGAAAATTGAATTTAGTAAGCAAAGAACAAGAAGGCATCAAAAGAGAACGGAGAAATGACAAATTTATACCGGCATGTCATTCCACGGAAGAGGCCATCAACAAAAGGGGATTTGGCCAGGTAACAAAACACCACGGACAAGGGAAGGCCGAAAGTTTGGAGCTCAAAACTGTGCAAGAAAACATAAGAAAAGCAGGAAAGCGCGATTCAAATCGAAAAATCTACTTGATCGGGATATATCTAACCAATAAACCGAAGAACTAGATTGCAGGAATCTAACCAAGCAAGCACACCAGTCATTACAGTACGGTAAACGGGATAATGCATTACTCTCGAAAAGATCGGGATGCAACGCAATGCAAAATGAGAGCAAGCCAGTGGAAGCTACGAAAACTGATAATCAACCAGGTCAAAAATGGCAGATCACAACTCAACACAAGTCACACGCGGACCAATAGAATTACGAGAAAGGTGACGCCCAATTAGTTGGTCGCGAGCTACCCTTCATACATTATCTAAACACACGAAGATGAAGACGAAGCGTCTCTCCAATCGCGCATTTCTCACGTACTAGTTAATTTCCAATCTCGATGAACATATCAACAGCCAACCGGTCAAAAAGCGATAAAAAAACACCCAAGCTTTCAATATTTTGTCACACTGCTATGGCTTGGAGGCAGAAAATTTTCAAACTTTTAACTGGAGCTAGAGAGAAAAAAAGGAGTGAGAATTTGACTTGTTCTTATGAATGTACCTGCGATCTTATCCTGAATTGGTCTTTGGTGCGTCGAGTTTGCTGCCACACTAATCATTTTGGCTCGCTGGTCAGCTCACTCTCAGCTTGGGCTGCCAAATATGGTTATTTCGGTGAGACTGATATCTCCTTTCCTCCCCCCTGCAATTCGACCCAACGTTTCAACTACACATTGTTTGATTCGACGGATCCTATGTTTTTCACGTGTAAGAATAGATGTTCTTAGCTGAGACGCCAAGTGGTAATATTACGCTCAGTGCTGTTGGCAGTGCGGAAACTGGTGCTATATGTCGATGACTTATTCAATACGTTGTACACGCTGACAAAGGATCTGGTAAACAGAATTCTGGTTGCAGCATAACATGCCGTCATTTTTCGCGTCACCTGGGCTGAGTACAGCGTCGGTTCTATTCCAGGGTCTACATCATATTCCGTACAATTTTAGACTTATAATGTGGTCGCATTGTAGACGGTGTGGTCTCGGCGCCAAAGTATCTAGAGAAAAGTTCACGTTTTGTGGATTATTTTGGTTCATTCAGCAATTCTTACGCCTGTGAACTCAAACATTCATTGAATAAAAGGTGAGACACTGACCAAAAACTGAAAGTTATCCGTGAAATTTAGTAGCATTGACAGCTACCTCGTCAGTACTGGGGAAATGTGGACAGAACACATAAGTGGGAAAAGCACCGAAGACCATGATTCATTTACGAACTTCAAAGCAAAGATGCGTCATAACTTTTGCCTTGATTGTATGGCTGTTTATATCATCTACCAACAAAAGTGTAACATTTGAAACATTGGTATCTACTTGTGTCAGAACTCGAGAGGTATCTAGCAATGCGTGGACCTGTGGTCGTAGTTGAACTGAAGTTGGTTCCAAGTTCCAGCGTGACAATATAGGACACGTTACCAACCGAAAGTATTAGTCATTGGTTTGTTCTACGGGCTGAGCACACAGTTCACGCACAAGTTAGGTTGCGTCACTAATGCCTCCACTTATGCACCGCCTAATTTAGCTTCAAAACAACGTAGTAAAGATGCCAGTTCGACTGATGATGAAAAGTTCATAACTGATCACTCAGTTCAGCGAGCAAATCAACGGACAGCTGTACAACATGCGCTACCAACAATCATTTTTGTAGCAAAACACGATCTCCAGGATGGGCCCTCTGGGGTGAACCAACCTTCAGACGGCATAATGTAAAAGTATACGAGCGATAGTCGGTCAGCAGTGGGAAAGTGGAGCAGAGGTGTGCTATGAGAAGTAACGGACAAAGGAGGGAAAATAACTGGAACGAAACTCCAACTGGATAGAAAATACAAGGGAGCAGAGAAGGTTCCACCCAGCCGTCGGATCAGAGACAACAACTTCTATATGGATGAACAAAAAGCTTTTGGCAATCCACAACCTGTTACTAAAAAGGATGAAAACGGTATTGAATTGTCGAGTAGTTTCAATCACATTATTAGGTGGTGTTGTGCTGACAGCAGATAAAACATGTACTCATCTTCAACATAACATCAGTTTTCCTGATAATATGTCGCAGGACAAGCAACTAGGGTGTGCTTGATGGTTGTTGATCAGGTCGCAGCTGATCTGCCTGTCAAGCATTGCATTTAGCTTGGAAACGACGATTTGTTATAAGTGAGCGCTTGCGTGAACTGATTATATGACCAAGTTTGGTGGCCAGACGTTTAAAGACTAATTGCCAGGCTTGGTGAACAGACCAACGACCAGCTGATCAAAAGCCAATCAGACATGCTACATCGACCATCATATCCTCCCAGGAAGCCATACTTCAAAAGATGGTAGAATGAGCTGTTGGTTTCTGTGAATGGAGTAAAAATTCAAAAGTGGAACAAGAAATTCAGAAACCACATGCTCATTGCAGCTGAGAAATGATGATGCATAGTGCAATAAGGATATGACACCTTGGCTACTTAAAGTGTTCTCTGGTGAAGATCCTGTAATAAATAAGACTGCTAACAACCTGAAAATCATGCAACGAAAGTACGTTGATTGAGAGAACTTGACCTGATCGATACACGAAAACCTATACGGAATTAGCTCACTTGGTTGGCAACTTGGCTGCCATCAGCAACACGTTCATCAGTTACTTGCATTACTTCATCCCACACCAAATATGTTAAATGTTTCTCAACTCAGGCCAATCTAGTTTGCAATTCACTCCGTTTTTGGCGAAAATTAACGACAGGTAAGGAAATCTGCACCAAAATCCGCCGCTGAACGTGTTAAGACTCGTATGGAGTTCCGAACCGGCCAGAATTATTAATTACTTTGGTTTCCGATATGAATCTTGGGATTTTGGAGTGAGCAGGGAAAGGAAGTCAGAAATTTGTTCAAAAATATAATAGTAAAAGATACAGTATCATCCAGGTAGTCACAAGAGAGTGGTTAAATATACACAGTCGAACATATAACACATAACATGAGTACATCTGAATTGTGCATCTCTGTGGAACAGAAAATACATCACCAAAGTCATTTGGAGTTAACAAAGGTAGAATAATTAAGATAAAGGCAGGATACAGAAGCAACTAGGTCCACGTTCCGCCACATTTGAATTTAGTCACAGCAGACGCTTGAAGTACACAGTAAACTGGGGAATGTGTTCCGGCGCGGATAAAAGGTTTACGGGACAATGTTTTGGTCCCCTGAGGGGATGATATCTGCATTGCTTTCAGGATTCTCTTGTGAATGGGACTCACTTTCTGCGCTAAATTTCTTCTTCTTGGAGGATTTTGGAAGGTCACCCGGTTTCACCTTACACTCACGGCGTGCTGCAATCAACTGTTGTTCTTCAGCAATAGTTTCAAACTTGGCCTTTTGATATATCTTCTTTGACCCCACCAAGTTGAGTATAATAATATCACAGATCACGGGTGCCTGCGGAAGTGACAAAGAAACAAGAGTAATCAAGGTTGTTCCCTTATTAAATACGATATCTTAAACAGAAAAGCGAAAAGATTAGCCGTGGTCAACGAAAAGTCAGACTTTGAAAACTAAGCAACACGTATGGAGTCGCTCTTCCTTACGATGTGGTGGATCATCCGCAAGACTCGCGAAGCTGGTTTCCGGCGCTACCGGGCAGGATAGTTTAGGACGGAAGGAGTGTGCGGCACGAATACGCTGTAGACAGAAACAGCTGGTCGGTTCGTTCACACTGAATTGGAAGTATTTCGGAGGTTTCAATGGACGGTAATTGCCTTTTTTGCTTCAATTATTCTGCCCATCATGTTGACCATAGTTTGCGTCTGACGATATACGGCAAGCCGAATAAAAAAAGCTGTGCAGTATTAAAGTGGTGTGTGCTGCTAGCAAATTACACTCATTTGCACACGGAATTGGTTTTCACGGAAGACCCAACTGAATCTCTCAATCAGGAAGTTCTTCAACTGAAGGTGTTATATCTAAGTTCATTATCGGAAAAGATTTTTGCGCATTCCTCAGCAAGTGAATTCAAATTTTATGCTGCACACGAATTTGTAAAGGATACGGAATGGAGCATTGGACCTCAGATTATCCTAGCCCGTTAATAAACAAACGATAGTCGTATTACTGACACTCCAGGGCAGTCTGAACTTACCAAACCCAGCAACGCGATGCCCGAGCCGATATTCATTGTGAGCGGAAGGATATGGAACTTTCCAGCTGTACCAGTAGAATGAATTTGGAAGCGAATGCCGTAGGCCTTTATCAAATCCCGATGGAGTACTCCGTCTAAGTAGTAGTAGTATGCGTATCTTCAGAAAGAATAATGTGGACGGAAATGCACTTTTATTGGTCACAACAGGGTTCACAGCAAGCCATTTCATGTTTTTAGAGATTTCGTGTTCAACCAAAGAGATCAGCTCTATCCGAACATCATCGCATAAACACGGGTTAGGTACAGCGAGCATTTGACTATTGTAATGGGTAGCACTTTGAAGCTGAATAGGTTCGACAGTAGAAAATAATTTTCGGAGTCATNAATAATTTTCGGAGTCATTCACACGCCTGTTTCAATCAGTACCTGATGAACTACATGCGAGCCACCAGTGATGCAGAACACTTGTTATCGGGCAAGTAAGATGTGGATAAAAATAGCCATGGGCAGTTTTTTAGAAGCTGATCAGAAACCTGATTGGCTTGTAAACTCGTCAAATATGCATATGGGAAATTCTAGGATGTAATTGGTGAATCGAAAGGTTCAAGCCGTCAAACAAGGCCTTTAGCTCAAAGGTCTTGAGAAAATGCAGTGGTATTGGTGTAGGGATACCAAGGCAGTTTAACTTCTGCGGAAAAAGTCAACACGTTCTATCTCGGAACTTGGTGGGCCAGGAGACCCTTTTTATCAGACAAGCACCATTTTGTGGTCCATCCTCTTCGTGACAGGTTCGCTCAGTGACTTGTTTTTGTCTTACAATGTAACATGGATAAAAGAATTTTACGTGTACCTGTTGGCATCCCATTTTGTGACTGGTACCAATGTGCTCAAAGCAAATATGACCTCCGTTTATGTCACCCGTAAAGTGCGATCGCCGCTAGAAACGGTGCAATTGACAAACGGAATATTGAATCGTATCTCTCATGTGACACCCGGAAATTTTTGGGTCCTGATGGGATAGCATCTTTTATTCGTTTTTCTCCTAGATGAAGACTACCAGTGACGGTGTTTTTTTAAAGGATTTGTTTACGATCACTGCAAGTCACTGTCACTTGACGCGCTGTCAGTGTGCATGTTCGTAGTGAATAAATAACGAAAACAGCCTAAATCCTTCGGCACAGTAGAACAGCCTAAGGGGGTGAGACAAGATATCCTCTCCATGATCAGTTGATCACCGTGTTGCGGATGCACACACGGTGAACGTCGCCAACTGAGGTGTGTGAAAAACCGCGGGCAAAAGGACGACGAGTTCTTGAAAATAGTCGAAAACCACTATTTCGGTTAGTTCTCATTCATTTTGAGGGATAGAAACGGATTTTATGTGATTTTTGGAAGCAAACTAAGGCCATGATGAAAAAGGACCAGTAGTATTTAGAAATACAACGTCTTATGTTGACAGTGGATATAGGTCGAAACTCCTTACTAGGGGAGTATCTACTCAACGATATAGCACGAACTGAGACTGCCACGGTGAAGCTCACGCTCTCGAAACACCAGGACCTATTCTATCTTCTCTTAGGATTCGGACAACCGGGCTGTTAAATTTTTTCAAGCTTCTACTCAACCGTTCCAGCTAATGATGAACTATTGCACCATATTCTAGCTATATATGTTCAAAAGCGCTTCTAAAATTTCAAACGAAAACTGGGATCTAATAGAGAATTTTCATTGATTTCTCCTGACTGGCTCCTTGATAGAAAGTAATGTTTTGAAATAGACAATGTGTAGTTGATTTGCAATACCACGTTCAGTAAGCCACAGCGCTCAATTCCGTTACAATACAGCCATCGACACACGTCGGTAGGGTGAAAAGGACACAGATGGTGTTCTCTGCCACTTTGGCTTTGGGGATGTATTGTCAGAGCCAAAATTTGAGTGATAGAATTTTTAAATAACATATCCCTTTCTATCGGCTACAAATCATCGCCAGTTATTTTCAGATAAATATTTTATTGTATGTTTCACAATGTTGTCGAAGCTCAATGATGTTAAATACTGACACAGTTCGGATTCCCGAAGTTGTGAATTATTTGGTCTACACTGTTGACAATAGAAAAAATACGTAGATTTTTTGAACAGCTTTCTGAAACAAATTTCCTCTACAGAAGAATGTTAGCTCAGGTAGCGGAGACGGTTGTTGGTTTGTTTGCTAAGCTGGGCAATTTGACTGCAAACGTTTTATCACAAATGGAGATGACATCATCAGTGCGTTATTAGGGAGCATGGTGGAGCGTAACGATGGGTTCGTGGTTGTGCACAACCACGCTTCCTAACAACGTACTGATAATGTCACTTCAACTGGTCATGAAACGTTTGCAATCAAAATGCCAAGCTCAGCGAATAAAGCAAAGGCCAACTTTTTTCTTCCAATTTTAGGATCTGTAACTTTTAAGTGTGCTTCGAATTCCACAATTCTTGTACCCTTCGAAAACACATGCAGAGGTTCTAGGTATGAAGCTGAACATATTCGAGGATTGTGTGGAACATTTCCTTCTAGCATTCATAAAACGTAATGCCCCTAGGGTTCAGTTAGAAAAGAGTGGGAGCAGAATGAACGGAATTACAAAAAAACGACAAAAAAACAAGGCATAAGTTACATCCATCATTAAGAGGATTCGGCATTTACGCCCGGAGGTCGAATTTTTTTTCACTCTGAAAGTAGCTTGAAAAACTGAACCTCCACAAAAAATTTCTGAGCGGAAATACTTGAAACCTACATGAAACTTTCAACAGCATGCAGTGATGGTCTATTAATAAATATTAAATTAAATTCAGAAAAATAAACAAAGTTCTTCCTTTATTTTAGTTATTGCATCAACTCTGCTAAGCAGCACAATTCCTACCACCTGATGGACATAAGGCTTATTGAAACTTATCCAGATCAGTGTTTTTCTCTGCTTCTATCTTCTTCCATGGATCGTCTGACACATGCCTCGGAATGCACCGGCTGAATCCAAGTTTCTGTGATTTTAGCTAGCTTTCAGGTTTTTACAGATGAGTTTTGTATAAAAGGGGTAAAAAGTTCGTTGCACTGAAAAGCGAGAAATCCCTCCTACAAATGGCACCTGGAGAACATTTTCTCTCCTATGAGAACGATAAATGTGGATGAATCGAAGTAACAAAGTATAACCGAAATATACTTGTGTACATTCAACCTAAATGGGGCAAATCACGCATGTTATGGCCATTTCTAAGCATCAGTCGTAGTAAAAACTCCAGTTCACAAGTCTCTCTGCAGTTATTGCCGTCCATTAACGCCAAACTTATGAATAAAAGAATTTGAAAGAAACACGAATGGGTTTTAAAGTTTCCTAGAAAAGCAATATAAAAAACCAAAAGTGCCATCTGAAGTTATCTAAAGAACATATAGAATCGCGCTAGCCTTGTAGTGGACTTACATTAAATTTAACTCTAGAACTATTTTAAGACTGCAGATGCCATTGTACATTGGGTGAAACTAAAAAAGTTGCACTTGAGTCTGGGGAAACCGTTTGAAGTCTCATGGTGCTCAGTGCTTTCTACGACTGTTGCTGTATTTAATTAATCATCTCACAAATGGTGTCTTATATGAATTCTGTATTCTAAGAAGCAATAAGAAGTCTGCGGGGGAATCGTGACTCTACGACTTTTTTGAGATCACCATTGGGTTTTCGACCGCACTGCAAATACTACCTAGAGGTCTGAAAAAATCGCTTCTCGTAAGAAGGTGCATTGCGATGATCATAATTTAAACCCATCATGATATTTTCGACCGTTTGACTTAGAAGTAAGTGTTCCAGAATCCGGTATGAACACTCAACTAGATCTAGATGCCATATGTTTGTTCACTAATGAGATGAAAGCTAAGGCAGTGAGTCATCGGTGCAAATGACAGCTCTGACCACCTCTGTATGAATCCAGTGCTGACTACGGGCGAAGGTCTGCAGGGTGATGGTCCATCCGTACGGCATGGTTGCAGCACAGATGTGCAGGAAAATAACCCAGTATAAATGTTTGCTTAATGACAACCCATTTGAACACAAAAGGTTTATGAGGTGGGAAGTCCAACATATGTTTCATAGGTAACAGCTAAGTTAGAGTACGCTTGGCCAGTCCAAAGAACTTTGTAATGGAGCTGAGCCTACGGGCTCAAAAGAAACTAAGATGCAGTTGCAAGGAAATGTCGAAAACTGAACGCTTCCAGTAAGATAAGAAACTCAGTAATCTTTCTGAAGTCATAACGTGAGAGTGGATACTATCATTCATCGGCTACCCAGGAGCACACAGGAACTCTCTTGGAGGAGACACCACGAAAAAAGGGGCTTTCTTGCATTTATTGCGATGGCGCTGTTTCGGTATTTTTGAAGTAGTGTAGATGTCACAGCAAAAATCAAGTGCCACAAGCATGCAACGCAGTATAATGGGTTATTTTACCCAGGTGTTTAAATTTTATGATTTTTTGGAACAGTGTTTAAAAATACTGTCTAAATACTACATTTTCGATGTTCCGACTATGCCAGGTGTCGTCATAAGTACTGAATTAATTCCGGTCTTTACACTCGAATGACTGTCAACGTTTGGGCTTGCAACTTTGGTCGCGTTCGTTTCTCAGCAATTTGGGACCACAAGCCACAAAACAATTCGCCGCAATCAGGTTCTCGTTGTTTGCTGTTTTTTATTTGCTCTCGGATTTCTGTATCTTCCCCATTGCAAGACGCCCCAAAGTAATCCGAGGAGAATCTTCGGCCGTCGCGATTTAAATTCAGAAACAATTCGAATCAAGAAACTGCCTAATAACAAGGAACACATGGAATCCCTAGGGCATAGAAGCAGGCGTGTTATACTAAAACAAGAGGGATAGGATGGCTGCAGACATTTGTCGGAACAGATCAGCGTAAAAGCAAATGCTTTAAGTATACATTAGTGATGAAACAGTGACAAGGTTAAATGCGGATGAGAGAATATCAGTGAACATAATGGTCATATAGTTACTATCCTGCTACTACGTTGTAGGATGACACTTTTGATTAGTTGCTTCTCAATTGATAACTAATCGGCCTAAACGAATTCGGTGCAAAGCGGATCGTGATCGACAATTTGTTACCGCATGCACAAACCCATTCTGCTTTGAATGTAGCATGGAAAACTGTCCGAGCGGAAGTAAATCTAGAGGCAGGACTAACTGGAATGCCAAAGATTGTAAACTTCCGGTGTACTAGGGATGAAGCGTGAGATGA